AGTAAGGGAGGGCTACGCAAGGTGATCAGCCTCACTTTCTCCCCTGGGCCATTTGGGTCCAGTGGCAAGACAAAGATCAGGATGACTGGAGATGGCCCCCTCATCACATATTACAGCACAGTAATATTTATTACATTCAGGTATCACAATTTGTTTACGCATTTCCCAACTGATGCACATCATCTTTGTTTCTACTTCTTTGCTACCACAAAAAGTGTGTATTCTAAACCTTGTCTATATTCAAGCCTCCCAACACAATTCTTCTGACCTTAGTGGCCCCATACTTTAGAGAGAATAATGCCAATTTCTCTGCTCGCCTTCTCTGTTCCCCAATCCCTTAATAACATCTTCTTCCTCCTTTACACCATTCTCTGACAGCATTCTCACCATGCTCTCTTTCTATTGGCTACTTTCCTGCTACCCACAAATATAACCAAGTCTCCTCCTTCCTGGGGGTAAAAAACAAACAAACAAACAAACAAAAAAACCCCACACTAGATCCTACTACTATATTCCTTCAAGTTATATAGCTCATCCTTTCATAGCTAAAATCCTAGCCTGAATCAAGACAAATGAGTGTGAGAATGTAGAGAAGGGGACAGATGCAAGAGATAGCATGGTGGCAGAAATAGTAAGACATGGCAACTGATGAGACATGAGAAGAGAGGAGAGGATGACTCCACAGTTCCAAACCAGAGTGACTAGATATGAAAGTTAGGAAGAGGAGAGAGTTTGAGGGGAAAATAGTAAGCTTTTAGACATGCTGAGTTTGAAATCATAATTTTAGCTCGCATTTGTATACAACTTGAAGGTTTGCAAAGTGCTTTATATATGTTACCTCATTCGATCCTCATAACAACCCTGGGAGGTAGGTGCTACTATCCCCATTTTACAGTTAAGGAAACTGAGGGCTGACTTGCAATGTCACAGTTAGCAAGTGTCTGAGGCTGGATCTGAACTTGGGTCTTCCTAACTCCTGGCCCAGAACTTTATCCACTGAACCACAAACTACCTCAACAGAATCCTGGGATTTACCACACATAGACAAAAGGAAGATACAAGTAAATGGAGGCTGACTCCCAGGTTTTCTTTGGAAAATATCCCCCACCAAAAAAAAAAAAAAAAAAAAAAAAGAACATGAACAGTTGGTGAGATCTTAAGTTCAAAAGCAACAACAAACACCACTTCATGGGACATATGCTGGTAAAGAGCTCATTTGATTGTATGAGTTAATATTTGTAAAGTGCTTAGTCACAATGCCTGGCACATAGTAGGTGCTTAGTGAATGCTTCCCTTTCTCCCCTGAAGGATCTGAAAAAAGGATCATGAAAGAAACTGCAGCTTATACACCTAAGATCTACTTCAGAGAATGAAGAGGTTAAGGAATTTTGAGAACTCTGCAAGATCCTCCAAGTAAATCAACATGTACCTTGATATTTGGTAACTTCATTTCAAAACTGGGAATGGGTTAGGATGCCAAGAAATGTACTGGAAAATGTTCAGGAACAAGTAATGAGAGAAACCAAAGGCTTGTAAGACTACACAAATGCCCCACATCTATACATCATGAATACTTTCTTTGAAAAGAGAACTGTTAGGTTCTGGTTGTGATGAGCACCACATTAAATCACAAAAATCAAACTGATTCAATTAACAAACAGTAAATAACTTGTTAAATCAGTCACCTTTGTACAATCAGAACACTGCTTAGACCAAAATCAAAATTAATACAATGATACAAAAAGAGAATAAAAATCAGAAAAAAAGATGGCATACAATTGAAATCACTCAATTCTGACCTATTCAAATTTGTTACTGATGATGAAAAAGAAAATACGGATGAGAGAAAAAACAGTGAAATCTATGTCATACAAAAGTTAAACCAACATAAATCAATTGCACTAGTAAGAACAAGAGAATCTAAAAAGTGTCTTAATCAGTAAATACCTGACTTCCTAGACAAAAGGGGAGAAATGGCAACAAAATAGTAACCAAAATTTTGATAGTTTAGACTAGTTGTTTCAAACTCAAACAGAAAAATATTCCTAATGGCAGCAGATTGACTTAGAAAACCACAAATCAACATTGAGCAGAAACAAAGTAGGGTTCTAGGGGAGGTAGGGGAATAAGTGTAACACTGGGGACTTTTCTAACACAACAGAGTGGAGATTATGTTATCATTACATGTCATTCCATTACCAAACGTGCACCAACATTCACCTCACCTAGATCAATGCACAATGACAGCATGCATGCACAAGCACTAATACCATGGGCACTAATCAGTGCTAATGCATGGGGAGTATGGCTAAATTCAGCAAGACTTTCAACACCTCACAACGATTTGTTCAGACTTAAACTTACCAAAACTAGAACAAGAAAAATTTAACTTAGCAATTAAAAGTATGACTGAAACTGGGCCAGAGGGCCAAAAACAAAGCAATGTAATAATGATGTAACTGCAACACTACAAATAGCAAAAGACACAAACAATAAAATGCCACAGGGATCAGACAACACTACACTAGAAACACTAGAATACCCACCACGGGAAACCAACCAACTAAAGCAATGGGGATACTACTTGAACTTCAAAACAATTTTAACCAAGGTACAGGAACAACTAACCCAACATCAAGATTAGATGTAGACTGAGTAGAAACACAATTTCTAACTATAAAAAACACAATACCCATTGAAATGATGAGAACAGGAGACCACTTTCCTACTGTAAAGCACTACTTTAAACCAACCAGACTAAAAAAATTTGGCAAAGAAAGAGAACATATCTTGCTAGATACATAATACATCATCCTTGCATGAAAAACCAAGGAGTAGAAGAAGATAATCAAAGTTGAGTACAAGAGAGTAAATGACACACCACTAGCAACAGAAGAAACACTAGTAAGAAATGTATTAGTAAATACATATACACCATGGACAGGAATAGAAGTATATGGAATAAACAACCAACCAGCTATCACATACAAACCAACACTAAGAACTGCACTTTTCGCATATAAAAGCAATCCACCAGGGCAAATATTTGTAAAACTGACACCAAACTGGACAGATAAATACTCAGACTTGGGAACAATTCAAAGTATAATAGTAACATATGCTACATTTTTCTGGAAAAGAAAGTTAGTAATGAGGAACTTACACTCATTTTATCAAACAAAAACTGACAGTACAAACTTCTCGAAGTATTTCCCAGGGCAAAATTGAAAATTCTTTATACCTGTTATAAATGGTATAAAAGTGCCAAAAATAATGTACTAAAATGTGATGTGACTCTTAAGCAATTAATATTGTGTGTTAAAATAAAGATATTTAATCATAAATATGTGAAATGACAATAAAATGTTAAAACAAAAAAGTCTCCGTGTTTTTTATTGAAAACCAATACCATGAATATGCTTTGAATTAAGGGAGTGAGGGTGGGAAATTCCAAGGTATTCTCTCTCTTTTTCTCACTTACCAACCAATTAATTGGTTTTTTCCTTGGGATTAAAAAATCTTTATCACTTTGAGCTCTAAAAAAAAGCATGATTCTATAAAATTTAAGGTTGCACTTCAACTGAGAAATTTCATCCCCAAAAGTCAACATAAAATTATACTGATTCTGAAACTTGGGATAGCACAAAATGTTAATATACTATTAATATCATGTATTAAACGTTTAGAACATTAGTCAAATTTACTCATTTTAAAGGTTTCAAACTCCTAATAACTAAAACACTAAAGGTATTTCTAATCAAACTGCAGCTATTCAAGTTACAAATCCTGAAAACCTTATTGAAGATTCCCAACTTTTTCAATTCAACAAGTATTTATTCACCAAGAAAGGCTTAACTTATTTATCTTCTCAAACTAACAGTGATAAGACAGTGTAGTATTTTATTCTCTTGAAATTTAAAATAAGCCACACTTTTTTCAGGAGAAAGCACAATCCTCATAAGGTCAAGAAGTGTACTGGATGTTAAAGGACAAGGGTTCAAATGCCAATTTTTTAACTTGTTAGTCACTTTACTTACTCATTTTACCTCCCTGGGCCTCAGGTACTTCACCTGTAAAGTGAGGATATTGTGCCAAAATATTTATAAGGTTCCCTCCAATTCCAAATGCTTTGATCAGATAATTTTATGATAAACCGACTATTAACTTCTAAAATACAAAGAAAAAAATGAAACTGCATCACATTTATTCTTTTGGCTAAAACATCTTCAAAGCCACAGAAACTGAAATAACATCTTCCACCCTCATTTACTTCCATTTAATGGTGCATAAATAGGAACAGTTATCGGGAATACAATAAAGAAATATACCGTGCAACAATACTGTAGCGATGAACAGAATGGGGGCTACACTTCCCTCAGTACGTTTCTATATCCTATCTAAATGCCCAAATACCCTGAATCTGATGGAAAAGCACAATCATTCATATTTCGAGTTATTCTGTATATGACGTGCTTTGTATACATTTGTTTGTGTGCTGTCTCCCTCGTTAGATTGTAAACTCCATGAAGGCAAAGGCTGTCTTTGCCTCTTTTTGCATTCACGGTCATAAAAGTCTGATAACGTTTAATGACTGACTGATTAATCAGAAATCATCATCGAAGGGCCAAAAAAATTCAAAGAATACAGGCGATGAGAGTGTCACCTTGGAAGCAGATAGATTTCCGTGGTTGCCTGGGCACAAAACACCGTCTGACCTTGACCGCGGGAGGAACGGTGCAGGCACAAACAAACCCGGGCCGTCTACCAGCCCCCGTCTGTGGACAGATTCACCGTCTAGCTCAGGACACAGGGCGTAGCTCTCTGACCACGGGAGAAGGAGGGGCAGAGGCTGCCCGAGGCCGAGAGGAAGCCTTTCCCCCCACCCCCGTGCCCGCCGCCGCCTCTCGGCTCCCTTTCCCAGCCCGAGGCTCCCTAAAGACGGCTGGGCCGGGCGCACTCCCTGCTAGGGGCCGCGGAGGCCCAGCCCAAGCCGCACTCACCTCAGCAGCGCCAGGAAGGCGGCGGGCTCCACGTCGGGCAGCTCGATCTCGGCCGAGGTGGTGGCCATGCCGCCGTTGAACATAGCGTCGAAGACGGCGCTGCCGGCGGCCAGCACGAAGCGATGGGCGGGGATGCGCTGGGGGCCCCCGGCCGCGGCCGCCCCGGCGCCCCCGCGGCCCTTGCCCAGCACGAAGCGCACGTCGCTCAGCAGCTCCGTGTTGAAGAGGAAGGCGAAGCGCTCCTTGAGCGACGCCTTGGTCGCCTGCCAGTTGTACAGCGGCTCCCGCTGCAGAGGCACCGGCGCCGCCGGCCCCTGAGGCGAGAGCGGCGGCGGCGGCGGAGGCGGAGGCGGAGGCGGCGGGGCCAGAGGCGGTTGTGGGGAGGCCCCGGTGCCCTTCTCGGCCTCCGGGCCTAGGAGAGAGTCCCCCGGAGCTGGGACCCCGATTCCGGCCATGCCCTAACCGCCGCTAATCCCTACGGAGTGCGCTCCCCGCGACGGCTTAGCAGGCGGTCCAGGCCCCGGCTGCCATTTCCCGCTCCGGCCCTATCGGGCCCAATCCCGGGCCCAGGCCGCGTCAGTGAAGATCCTGCTTCTCGCAGCCGGTTCCGTTGCGTTTGCTTCCGAACCTTCCGGGAAAGTGCTACTTCCGGCCGCTACCCACGGGAGGGGGAGGGGCGCCCACGCACGCGCCCCCGAGCCAGACCGGAGGAGGGGCGGGGGAGGGGAAAGGAGAAGGGCGGCGCGTGCATCTAATGCTCCACTAGGTGATGCCGATGGGCGCCCCTTGAATGTGCCGGGGAGGCGTGTGCGGAAAACCCTGAATTGCAGAGTACACGTCCTTTCACGTTTCCCCCCCCCCGCCCCCAGGAAAGAGGTGCACCCCCCCACCCACTGAAGGTATCATCAGCCCTGGCCCACTTGGAAAAACTGGTGGAAAGGCGTGTGCAAGTCGGGCAGCCTGGACTCAAATCTCCCCTCAGTGAACCAATCAGGCAGGGGGACAGGCAGGACCATGCTGCACTGGCCACAGTCGTGACGCAGCAGAAATTTGCCCAGGAGGTTCTCTGTTTTCCAGCCCTGACCTGGGTTCATCCGCACCAAGAGAGCGTCCTCCCAATCCAACTGGCTATGCCACACCCTTCCTACCACCAAAACCTGTGGTCCGATGATTGATAGGAAGGGAATCATTGGTATAGTTGTGAGACCCTTGAGCACCTGACTTCACTGCTGTCTGCCTCCACTTTCTCATCTGTAGGATGGTAGCACCTACCCCCTCTGGGTCGTTGTGAGGCTCAAATGAGATAAATTATGCAAAGTGTTTTGTAAACCTTTTAAAGCGATTTTTACAATGCCAGCAATTATTAGGAAGGCTCTAATAACTAATTGACGTTAAGCTATTGCCAGCCGGCCATCTAGTTGTTATGTCTGGAAATTATCACAGCAGTGAAGTTTTCTCACTCTAAGAAAAAAGTAAATCTATAATTGTGGTCTTGCAGCCTTTTCTGCCAAGATATTTTGGAGCAGAGAAATTTTTGCCTCTCACCTGATATAGTAGGAAGATTGTTGCTATACTTGGAATCAGAAACTGGCCTCCAAACAACCTCAGCAGCTTTCTGGTTGTGTGACCTTGAACAAGGCAGTCAACCTCATTGAGACTTCCTATAAAATGGAATAATAATATTTACACACTATCACGCAAGGTTGTTTCTTTGATCTGCTGAAACAGTTACCTCCAAGGTCACCAAAGATCTTTCATGACTGTATCCCATAACCTTTTTTTCTCAGTCCACAGTGTCCTTAACCTTCCTCACTGTTATAGACACTGTTAACTCTTCTAGACATTCAAAGCCTTCCTACCATAGCTCATTACTTTTCAGCAAATTCTACTCCAGCCAAAATGAACTGTCCCCCAAAATCCTGTACCTGTGTCCTGTATGCTTGGAATCTCTCTTTTCCCAATCGTCTTTGTCCATACTTTAAAGCACCTTCTCCATGAAATTTTTTCCGATTCCCAGTTTGTAACGACCTCTCCCACTTCATAAAGCATTTGTACATACTGTGATATTGTGTATTATAAATATCATTATATGCATGTTATCTTTCTATTTGCTGTATGTTCCAAGAAGGCTGAGAATCCATCTTATCTTCTGCAGTTCTTAGAATCAAGGTTGGCATGCAGTAGGTGTAAATCTGTTGAATTAACTTCCCTTTAGTTAATGCTCTTTTCCTTAGGTTTGCAAGACACTGCTACCTTCTGGTCTCCTTCCTTTTCCTTCCTTTGCTGGTTGATTTTTTTTCCTTCTTCCAGAGTATGGGTGTCCCCCAATGATCTGTTTTGACAACTTCTCTATATATATTCTTCATAAGCCCACCCTTATTCAGAGGGTGACTTACAACTACCTCTATGTAAATGACTTTTGAGATATATGTATGTATATATATATGTATATATAAATATATCAGGAGATATATAGTTATAGATACACTGAAAATGGAGAGTGGAACTTAGGGGATATATATACATACATGTGTACATAGATATCTATGGTCTATTATGTGTTTATACATACATGTGTGTATAGATATCCATGATATACATACATACATACATATATTTTCATTATGAAAATGGAGAATGGAGCTTAGGGGATATATATGTATACACACACACACACACACACACATACTATACACACATATATATCCTCTGGTCTCTTAAAAGTAACAGGCACCAAACTAAAACTCCTCAGCATTCCCCGCAAAATCTGTGCTCTCCCTCAATTTGCCTATTTCTGTTAATGGTACTCTTCCTCTCCCCACTCCTCAATCCAATCAATAGGCAAACATATAATCTAAAACCTATGAATTATATTTCAAAAATATCTCTCCATTCACACAGCCACTACCCTAATTCAGACCCTTATTACTTTTTACCAGAACAACTATAATAGCCTCCAAATTGGTCTTTCCTTCCTTCTGCTCTCTCCTACCTTCAATCCAATCCTCACAAAGCTGCCAAAATAATATTCCTAATGCAGAGATTTGACCATGGCATTTGTATTCTCCAAAACAAAACAAAACCTCCTCCAAAATCAAAAGCCTTCAATAGCTTCTCATTGCCAATATGATAAAATGTAAATCACTTAGCCTATAATGTGAGACCCTCCACATTCTGTCTCTAGCCTACCTTTCTAGCCTTATTTCACATTACTCCTTTTCACAAACTGTGTTCTAGTCAAACTAGTCCACAAGCTTCTCCCCAGGGTGCTGATAGGCCAAGTAGGAAGAAGCACATGGATGCTCATGTTCATAGCTGGGAGTAACCGATTACCATCCTTCTGGTATGATGAAAGACCACCAATCCTTACCATCTGCCTGCCAATTTGTCTTAAAATTCACGGAGCCTTTTGATCCTTCCTGCTTTTGAGCACCCTGGAAAGCCCTAGGCACTGTCATCTTACCTCCTGGTGAAACCTTAGGACCTCTGCCTCCTCCCTGAAGCTGGGATTCTTGTATCTCTTGTCTCCCCCACTTAGAACATGAGCTCCTTGAGAAAAAGGACTGCCTCTTTTTCATATTTACATCCCCAGCACTTAGTACAATGTTTAGAAATTGGTAAATTCTTAATTTTTTCATTTATTCACTCATTCATTCATATCATCATCCTGACCTTTCTCAATTCCATGCAGTCCTCCAAGCCTGGAAGGCAATCCCTCTATGTCTCTCTGCCTAATTTAAATCATTCTCTTCCAACACCACCTAGCTTAGGAACCATATCTTACCTTTCTAGTCTTCTTATACTTTACTCCACCCACTCTTTCATCCAACAACAATGACCATCTTGCTGTTCCTCATATACAAGACTCTAGGCTTTTTCACTGGCTGATCCCCATGCCTAGAATAGTTTCTTTCCTCATCTCCACCTCCTGGCTTTCCAGACTTCCTTCAAGTCTCATCTCAAATTCCACTTTCTACAGGAGGCCTTTCACCTCTTCATCCCTCCCCCCATCTTCCAACTGTTGATGCTTTCCCTCAGAGATGACCTTCCATTTGCACTCTATATAGCTTCCATATATATAGCTATTTTTATATTGTTTCTCCCATTAGAATGTAAACTCTTTCAGAGCAAGGACTGGGTTTTTGTCTTTCTTTGAATTCTTAGTGCTTATCATGGTGCCTGGCACATAGTGTTTAATAAATGCTTGTTGAGTGATGGACTTCTCTATAAAATTTTCTCTGGTCCCCTAGCAAAAAATGATCTCTTCCCTCCTCAAATTTCTCCTACTCTTTTGTCTAGATCAGTGGAGTCAAATAGAAATGGGGAACCCTAATCTGTACAGAAAGATCCCTGTGGGCTGCATATTGACTTAGTTTAAGTAATATTATCTGCGCTTTATTGTATTTTTTATTTTGTTAAATATTTCCCAATTATATTTTAATCCATGACTATAATTTTGATACCCCTGGTCTAGACCCCTTCTCCTTCCTCCGTCTCTTTCCTCCCTCATTACATTCTACCTTGTATCATGGTTATCTTACTTATGCTAAGAATATTGGTTCATTGACAGCAAGGACCACGTTGTTTTTCAAATTTGTATGTCCAGCTCCTAGTAGTACCTTGCACCTGTAGATGCTAAATTGTTTGTTGAATTGAATTGCTAAATCTGTTATTTCATCAGAGCTGTATTCTATTTATTCAGACTTCAACCCCTCCATGACTTTTTGTACTGTAAGATTTTTGTCTGTGCATGTTTTCCAATAAATCTGCAGAAGATCTCTCCACCACACTAGTGCTCCTCCTTTTTTTTTTTTGCTATCTTGGGGATGTCAGTGTATTTTTCTGGCTGTCCATTTGTTGTAAGCTTGCTTATCTCTGCAAACAGTTCACAAAGTTTTAGATAAGTGTGAGTCATTATTATCACTCAGGCTTCTCAAATAACATCAAAACAATTTGTCCTGTGCGTAAGGTCTGGCCTCAGTGAGGAAACATGTTAAGAGGCTGAAAATAAAACTTGTGCGCTCTGTCATGTAAGTAAATAGTTTGTTCCAATTTAGAATCAAAATGCTTGTGGCAGAATTGTCTGTTTAAAAAACTCAAGTTGCTCTCAAAAAACCAATCTATCCACATGCTTCCCTTCACCTTGATTTCTATATTTCTTTGACACTTCCCTGACACTTTACTTTCCAAGTTCTATTTCTCTAACAACTTCTCTGTCTCCTTTGCTAACTCTTCCACATTTCAATAAACACTTATTAAGCACCTACTGTGGGTACTGGAGATGAAGAGACAAAAATGAAACAATCCCTTAGTATCTTATCTTGGACGTGATGCTTGAGAAACAGCTTGGAGAAAAAGCACTGAAATTGGAGTCAGGAGACCATAGTTTCGCTCTGGGCTATGCCAGCAATTAGCCATGTAATTTTGGACAAATCACTTCTCTCAAGTTTCCTCACCTGTAAAATTTTATGCAGGGATTGGACTACATATGAGGTTCTTAACCTGGGGTTCATGAACTTTTTTTTTCTCTAAATATTTAGATAACTATTTCAATACAATTAGTTTCCTTGTAACCTTAGGTACTTTATTTCATACATTGAAAAACATAATTTTGAGGAGGGGTCTTTAAGCTTCACCAGACTACCAAAGGGGACC